CTGCCACGCGTCCCCTCCCCCCACGCCCGCCGGGCTCTGCCGCCCGCTCGCTTCCCCTCTCTCTTGGTTCCCTCCCCCTTTCCTCCCCCTCCCCTCTCGCCGCCTCTGTCAGTCTCTCGCTCTCCCTTCGCCTTCCAGTCCAGCCTCTCTCCACTTCCGTCTCTCCTCTCTACGATCTCCGCTCTCTGTTTATCTGAGTGCCTCCTTCCCCACCTCTCGCCTCCCCTCCTCTCCTCCCCCTCCCACTCCGCTTTTCCCTCAACCCCCTCCCCAGAAAGGGTAGGGACTCCCGAGCTCCAACCCCCGCGGGTAGAAGGGCGGGAACCGCGTGGAGGCTGCCCTAACACCTGGGCTTTAGGTGGGAGGTTCTGGTCTGCTCCTCCCTGTCCCGCTCGGTGAGCCTGGCGCCCATCCTCCAGCGCCCGAGGAACAAGGGGGCGGCGACTTGGACCCCAGTTTCAGAGGAGAAAAGGACCCGAAGGAAGAATTGCTCGCGTTCGGCTCTCCTGCCCAAGCTCCCGGGGAAGCCAAGTCCATTCACCTCTCCCGGGCCCAGACCCTGTGGCTCCGGCCGGATCCCTGTGGAGCTGTCCGACTGGGGTGCGCCCAGCTCTGGGGGGGGGGGGCTCGGGGTCTCAGCCCTCACCTCCACTCTCCGGGATTTCAGCTCCGTGGGTCTCAGCCCAACTAAGGGGAAGGACGAGGCGAAGCGAGGCGGCTCTTTGCCGACCCGCTGCAGCGCCCCCTGGGCTCACTGGCCCCTCCAGGTGGCGGTGCCGGCCTGGGCTCGGGTCTCTTAGCCTCAGGGATCCGGCCCTGCCAGCAGGAGGCGCTGCCCTGGAGGGAGCAGAGGGGACCAGTCCCGACCCGGACCCCGCCCAAACCTAGGACGAACCCTTCCCTTTCCTCTTTCCAGGAACTGCGGTGGTCCCACGGCCAGACCCCCGGTAGGGCACCCCAGGATGCATTCTATCCCCACCCCCGTGGGGCTCCTCTGACACATCCACGCTCCTTGCCAGACCCTAGACCGTTCCTACCTCCATCCTAGTCTCGAGGGACGCCTCCGCCAAGCCGGGCAGCGTCTGGCCAAGACTGGACAGCAAGGAGTACGGAGTCGCGGGACCGCTCCTCTCCTCGGGTCAGTACCCCCTCCCGCCCCCTTTGGCCAGCACGTCAAACAGGACAAGCCCAAGTCCTGGCGGGGGAAGGGGGGAGCGGGGGTGCAGCCCCAGGCGGCTCTCTCTCTGCACCCTTCTGAGCTGACTAACCTCTCATTGGCCCCTCCACGCCCCCCAGCAGCACCAGCCTCGATCCTTCTCGGTACCAAGACTGCGGCTGGGGGTACGGAGCGACGGACCCCCTTCATGGAGACAGACACACCCTGAGATTGAATTACCTGGTTCACCAACTTCCCCTGAGCACCAACTAGGATGCTCCGGGGTTCAGATCAGGGGCATCCACCGTCCTATGGGTTTTCTTTCTTTTTTAATTCTTTTTTTTTTTTTTTACCTACGGGCTTTCTTTTCTTTTAACCCGTTTTCCCTGTTGGTTCCTGGGCCGCTACCCTCAGTCTCCCATACCCTGGAGATCTCCGGAGATTGTCACCTCCCCACCCTACTCTGCTCAGCTGTACCCCCACTTGCTCCACTTCCAGGAGGGGCTATGTTGAAGGGGAATCGCTCTCCTTCACCCACAGCTGCCTAGACTGGATTTAACCTGGAAAGCGCTTTGGGAGGGCACCTCCTCCCTCCCTCTGTGGTCTAGTCCAATGGATCTAGGGATCCCCTACCTCCCACTCACCCCAAGTTGCAGCTTCCACCATTCAGAGGAGATAAAGAGGCTGTGTGTGTGTTTCAGAAATGAATGTGGAGGTTTTTATGGTTTTTGTTTTGTTTTTGGTTTTGGCTCCAGTAGAAGGAGCTAAAGCTTTGCCTTTCATTTGGCAATAAGACCTGGA